TTCTGATACTTCTTTCCTGAATTATACAAAATATATATACATTTTCCTGCTCAGAAAAAGATGTCTCGATTAAGTTTCATGTTAAGAAATACAGAGATTTATTTGTAATTTTACCCCTGTGCCACAATTGTTTTTCTTCCCCTCTGCCAATGCTTAAAAATCATAAAAACTAGTGAAATAGTATTTAAACTACTAAATTTACGCAGATTTGCCATGTTCATGATACTGTGCCAAATTTTGAAACAAGGATATTTTTATTTTATGCTTTCTGTACAAGTTTTATTAATGTATTCTAATTAAATACGCAGGGCCTGAAACCATACTGTAAGTAACATAGTTTTTCCATTCATATTTATGTTAATTAACCTGGCTGAAACAGTCATGTAGCCTGGCTTACCTTTAAGACGTCCTCCTCTTTACATAAAGGCCGATAGTGTAAAAATTGTTTGTTTATAGTGCATAAATTCAAATTAAGGCATTTCCATTGAACAGACTAAAGTTTAGTCGTATGTAACAAAGTATGTAACAGAGTGTTAACCACAGATTCATAATACATTATAGTAAATTAAATTAATAAAAAAAGTAAAAATAAGGGGCACTATTAAATTTCAAAATCAAAATGATACTTAAGAATGATTTTTTAGATAAGTAAATTTTAGTGTGTGGTCCAAGTTCAACCTCAAGTGTACTTTTTATCCTTAACTGGTTTTCTTTTCATCATTTTTTTTTTTTTTTTTTTTTTTTTTTTTTAAATAGATTATTTTTAGTTGTAAAAAGTGCTAAAATGCTGATCCATGATCCAATATATATTTCTTGAAAAAATAAAGATATTCTATGCAGAGTTCCTGAAGGATTAAAGGAAGCAAACACATCTGAATTAAACTGAATAGACTACTAATTTGTTTCAATTTTGTTGGTTGTAAAATTAATTATTTTATCATTAGTTTGATTACAATATATATAGTTGTTAGAAAAAAGATGTAATAATTTTTTAAGCAAGGCCTAACATTGTAAAAAAGAAACAGTATAAAAAAGTGAAGGAAAAAGAAAAAAAATAAGGAGTGTACAATCCAGCCGTTTACGTTCCCTGAAGATAGGAAGCTGTGTAGCATATGCTGTGTATATCTTTATAAAATCTAGATGATGATGATGATAATTACCTGATTATAGATTCTGGCAAAGTTTTAGCCCTGACCTCAATCATCTATTCATTCATTAATAAAACACAAGAGCCAGGAATTTTGTTGAAGTATGCCGGAGAGAAAAATCAAAGTAAGCTGCTCTGCCAAGTTATACCGGTAGTGAAGTGTTCGTTTCGGATTTTGTGAAATACATTTTTTTTTTCAAATTTAGAAAGAAAAATATATAATTTTTTGTTTTTGGAATAAAATCAAATTGAAAAGATGTGTTTGTGATAGGTTAACTTAGAGACTGAAATTCTAAGCACCTTTGTGGATTATTGAGAAATTAATATTAATTATTGTTCAGAAGTTACGTTTTGTTTTCTCTCTGGAATTGAAATGTTGCGATGTTATAGTTTAAGTATGCCAAATAATTTCTTTGCATTTTATAGAAAATTAAAATAACATGAAAAAGTATAGGATATTTTTTTTTTCAATTTGATATCAGTAAAAATAGGAAATAAATTTAACTGAGAAATTATTCAGGAGCTGAAACTATTTATTTGTAACAGTCAACTTCTAATTGATTATTGCATGTATTTTACAAGCTAGGAATTATTGATTATAAGTCTATAACTAGTAGACTGAAAATGTCACGAGGGAAAATGTCACAGAAAAGCTATCGGTTTACAGAGACCATGTGCCGATTTTATATTATACCTCCCTCGGGGCCTCGGTAATTGAGTTTGCACAGGATTTTTGTATCAAATGCTGAAAATGTGTATGGGAATTCACAGAATAGAGCCTGCGAATTACTGAATTAGGGCAAAATTGCAAGGCGAAGGGTTGTTTACGAGAAGAATTGCAAGATAATTGCCTTCCTTGCTTAGAAATTTGCGGTAAATTGAAACATATTATTCATGTTATTGAAAACAGTAGCTTAGTGGATTATAAACGACATAAAACGTTCAAGAAAAACTGGAGTAAATGTTTTCTGAGTGTCTTTTGAATATTTTAAAAGAATTATATTGGCTTTTGGGAATTTAATGCTGTTTTTTTTTGTGTGCAGCAGGGAATTTGAATGAAAAATTTATGTTTTATTTTTTAATGGATTTATAGGGATTATCTTTGAATGATCATGGAGAAAAGTGGTGGTGAAAATAAAGAAAAACGTAAAGTTTCCGTAGGTAGAAGTTTGACTATGAGATTCACAAACTATAGAAACCGAGGTAAATCTGTTGACAAGTGTGGGAGGTTAACCGGAAACGTGACAAACTTCGGAAAACCACTAACTACCTCTATGTCCATGGGTGATATGGACAAAATGCAAAATAAATGTGACCATGTCACTGCTTGCAGTTGTAACGTTAATAGAGGCAATTTATCCTCGTCAAAATTGAAAGGAAAGTCGGCAGAAAAATTAACTTGCTCCCAGTGTGAGAGTGAAAGATTGAAACTATGTTCGGGAGTTGTAAGATTAGATTCTATGAACGTTAGGTCAGTTCAGATGTTAGGGCCGATGACGGGTTGTTCACGATCTCCAGCCCCTGATGGACCTCCTCCCTGCACGCCCACTTCTGGGAGGACCGACGGGGCTTTAGTAAAGAGTTGGGATAAGATTTATGCCTCTAGAAAAGGTTTGTTTATAAATAAAATAATGTTGTTGACAGTTTTCCATGCATGTTTTGTACAAACAGAATTAATTAATAGGGTACATGTGATATAAAACTTTATGAGGTCTCTGTTTGGGGGAGACATGTTTTTTGAAGATGTAAAGATTTTTTGAAACTTGTAAGAAATTGAATTGTAAAATAAGTTTTGTTGGGCAAGACAAGTCATGTGTTTTTCATATTAATTCATAATATCACCTGAAATTTCTTAAAATTGCTGTTTTTCCATGAAAATACATGTTAAACAGAGGATGAATGGCCAGTAATATTAATGCATTCTTCAAGTTTTAATGGATTTTTATATGAAAACAATAAAGTGATGAAAGAATTGTCCATTTCAGATTCATTATCAAATGAAACAATTCCTGCTTTTTAAACATTTTTTAAGCAATTTTTTTCTTCTAATTTTTAATTATTTTTTATGTTTATAAAACACAGTGGTTTTTCTTAATTAATTGGAAAAGGTCTGAGCCCCTTAATTTTGGGAAATTTATTGTTAAAATTTCAAATTTGGAAAGTAAAAAGCTAGTGTAAATTCAGTTTTTGGGAAATCTCATAATTTTAAACAAAAATTCTATTTGATATGAGGTGAAATATCACTAAAACTTTACCTGTCATAAAAAATAGGGGAAAAAATATTGTTAGATATTACACCAATAGGTGTAATCCAATCAAACCTCAGAATTGCAATATGGTTTAAGAATGCAATTCTGCTGTAATTACACTTTTGAAAATAAACTTGGAATTTTAAGTTGAATAACTTATTAACATAAGAATTTATGCGATTATATGAACCTGGCAAGCTTGATTGAATATGAGGAGATTATTAAGGAAATCGATTCTGAGAAAACCTAGGTAGGTAGGTAAAACTAAGGTAAAAAGTTCATAGCACAATTTTGATTTTTTAGAGCTTTTTGAATTGTGCCGAGAGGATGTAAAAATTAATAGATTGTAGCAGTCTGACAGAATTATAAATGAACACTCTTTCAGTTAACTAATAGATGGATGTAGGGAAATTTTTTTTAAAGCAGTCAATGCAGCCAGATATTTTTAATTTATTGGCCAAGTGCTCTGGGCATGACCTCTCCTTTTCCCTTTTTCACCTTTCAGTAAATTCCTCGGATTTTATTTTAAAGTAATGTAATAAACCGGTTCACCATAAAAAATATAACAGCAATTTTGGTTTAACTATTTTGTCTACACATGCATTTATACTCATCTTTTAGTGTTTTAAGTGTAGCAGAGGGTAGCCCGTTGCCTGACTTTAATCACCACTTGTTAAGAATGTCTGGTTCTAATTTCCGAAACATTTTGTTTCATGTATATTGAAGTCTGAAAATCTGCCGGTAAACACATGTTCATTTGGCTAGCCGTTTTTTCACTCGCAGTATGTAGCAAGATTGAATGCAGAAAAAAAGTTTTAAGATTTTAATTGGTAGCTTTCTTTGGGCATTCCTTATCTGTTTATAAAGAAAATTCTTGAAATATGGAATTAAGAAAGTATTGCGATTAAAACATGTGAGTTACAAGGTATGGATGGAATTTAATGAGTTATTAAGTTAATGAAGTTAAAAATAGAAACTGGAGCAGTAGTTAAACTTGATTGTTGAGATATGGAAAAAAAATAGATAAAATTCCAGGTAGATTTCAAAGCATTTTGGTTTCCACACTTTTAGGGTTTTTGTTGTTCAATTTTCATGAGGAGTTTGTTTTTTTATCTCTCTGCTTTCAGAAAATTCTGTGAAAATTGTACTCGAGTAGTAAAACAAATAACTTAACCATATTGTAGATATTAAATTGTAGATAATTTTGGTGTAAGAAGAGTAAAGTTTGTTACAAAAACAATCACATAATTATAGTATGTTAATATTTCTTAGAAAAAACATTTTCTATTACTTTGATGGAAGATAAAAAGAAAAAGAGCGAAAAAATCATAAGTTGAATAAACTGTATTTTTCTGTTCTTTTAAATTATACAGTAAACAGATATGATCCTAATGCCATGCCTTTCCCAAAATTGTGATTTGTTAATAACTTCATATAATAAACCTACCAGCTTACCATTCTCAACCACCCGCACCCAACCCAACCCCTTCTCCATCAATTTACCTTATTTCACTAAAAACTGGAGAGAAAAAAGTCCAGATTGTACCTGTACCCAAAAAAGGGAGAAAAAAGAAATACTGATTTTATTCTTTTTCTATTTTCAGAATGGCTAAATATGGCAAGGTCCCATAACGGTAGGTCCAGTCTAAAGGAAAAGTTACAAGAAGAGTTCTTGTCGTGTAAGATATGCCTAGAACCCTACCAGCGTCCGAAAGCTCTACCGTGTCTTCACAGCTTCTGTAAACACTGTCTACAGGACTATGTAAGACGTCACACTGGGCATCGACCCGGTTTCTTCCCGTGTCCAATGTGTCGCAAGGATATTCGCATCCCTGACGGAGGGATAGATCAGTTTCAGGACAATTTCTTACTGTTGAGTTTGTCGGATACTTTAGAAGAGGACGATGATGTCCAGGTATGGCAGGATCCATACCAGCAACATCTTTCCCCACCTAGAAGCCTAGCCCCACCTACACCTTTAGAGGAGAAGTTGAAACAATACGAGTAGGTTCTTTTTTCTCTTTTTGTTTGTTTTTTTTTCTCCCCAGTATTTTGATTGATTATTGCTTGTAAGTATGTTATTCCAAAATAACTTCTGTTATAACTACTTAGATAATATGTAGTACTTACGGAAACATCTTATGTTATAGGACTACTTTGAAAGGCAGCTTGATATAATTTTATTGAAAAATGACTGACCATGACCCCTGAATGGCCTTGACTATCAAACCTGAAATTTACCTGTCATTCAAGGTCAGATTGTCAAAATTCAGGGAAACTAGCAATTATTCAATGTTAATTATTAACAGATTTATAATGGAGATATCATTTTGTTAGGAACTCAACATTTTTTTTTATAAGATCAGAAATGCTTTTAAAAACACTCTAGTTAGAATTTACTTTAAGTTTATAATACATGTATTGAGTTCACTGGGATTCCAGGAAAGCGACCATATTTGTTGTGCATTTATAACATCTTGCACTGTCTATTATTGTTTATTCCTGAACATGTATTTAATTTAAATTTGAATTTTTAGCTCACCTGTCACAAAGTGACAGGGTGAGCTTTTGTGATCGCTTTTCGTCCAGCGTCCGTCCGTCCGTCGTCCGTCCGTTCGTCCGTAAACTTTTACTTTAAATGACATCTCCTCATAAACCACTAAGCCAATTTCATCCAAAAATCACAGGAATGTTCCTTTGGTGGTCACCTTTAAAAATTGTTCAAAGAATTTAATTCCATGCAAAACTCTGGTTGCCATGGCAACCGAAAGGAAAAAACTTTAAATATCATCTTCTAAAAAACCATAAGAGCTAGAGCTTAGATATTTGGCATGAAACATCTTCTAGTGAGTGTCTACCAAGTTTGTTCAAATAAAAGCCCTGGGGTCAAAATTGGCCCCGCCCCGGGGGGTCATTGATTTTCCCTATATGCATATAGTAAAAACTTAAAAAATCTTCTTTTAAAGAACCCAAAGAGCTAGAGCTAAGATATTTAGCATGAAACATGTTCTAATGGGTGTCTACCAAGTTTGTTCAAATAAAAGCCATAGGGTGAAAATTGGCCCCGCCCCGGGGGTCATTGATCTTCCCTATATGCATATAGTAAAAACTTAAAAAATCTTCTTTTAAAGAACTCAAAGAGCTAGAGCTTAGATATTTGGCATGATACATCTTCTAGTGAGTGTCTACCAAGTTTGTTCAAATAAAAGCCCTGGGGTCAAAAATTGGCCCCGCCCCGGGGGGTCATTGATTTTCCCTATATGCATATAGTAAAAACTTAAAAAATCTTCTTTTAAAGAACCCAAAGAGCTAGAGCTAAGATATTTAGCATGAAACATGTTCTAATGGGTGTCTACCAAGTTTGTTCAAATAAAAGCCCTAGGGTGAAAATTGGCCCCGCCCCGGGGTCATTGATTTTCCCTATATGCATATAGTAAAAACTTAAAAATCTTCTTTTAAAGAACTCAAAGAGCTAGAGCTTAGATATTTGGCATGAAACATCTTCTAGTGTGTGTCTACCAAGTTTGTTCAAATAAAAGCCCCGGGGTGAAAATTGGCCCCGCCCCGGGGGTCATTGATTTTCCCTATATGCATATAGTAAAAACTTACAAAATCTTCTTTTAAAGAACTCAAAGAGCTATGGCTAAGATATTGAGCATCAAACATGTTCTAATAGGTGTCTACCAAGTTTGTTCAAATACAAGCCCAGGGGTCAAAATTGGCCCCGCCCCGGGGGTCATTGATTTTCTTATATGTGTTTAGCAAACACTTTAAATCTTCTTTGAAAAAGCCCAAATAGCTAGAGTTTAGATATTAAGCATGAAACATCTTCTAGTAAGTGTCTACAAAGTTTGTTCAAATAAAAGCCCTGGGGTCAAAACTGGCCCGGCCCCAGGGGTGTCATTGTTTTTAACTATATGTGTATAGTAAAAACTTTAAAAAAATCTTCTTTTAAAAAGCCCAATGAGCTAGAGCTTAAATGTTAAGCATGAAACATCTTCTTATGGGTGTCTACCAAGTTTGTGCAAATAAAAGCCCTTGGGTTAAATTGGCTCTGCAACGTTGGGGGTTGGGGGGCCTATATACAGGTGAGCGACCTCAGGGCCATCATGGCCCTCTTGTTTATTTTCCTCGAGTCTGCAGCTTTATAATTATAATCCGAATTAGGCTTGATCTATATAGTTTAAAAATAAGCCGAAGTTGACTAAATATTAAAATAATATAGAAATTACATGAAAGATGTATTCAGGGCCAAAAAACCCTTCATTGTGGAGGCCGAATATAGGCTGCTTCCCCAACCAAAATAGCCTCTTTTTTTCCCCAGTTTGGTCCTCAAAATTCCCCAGTCTTTTGAAATTTCCCATAGAATTTAGAACAAAATTAAATGATGATGTTGAATTAAGGTATTTTACTGCCTTATTACTAAGTATGCCAAAGTATGCCAAAATCACACATATTTTCCCCAAGAAAAGGGTGAGGCCCTTTCCCCAAAAATGGTGACTTGGCCCTGATATTCGACATTGTCATCTTTATGTTTTTGTTTTACAGCTGGTATTTTGGTAAAGTGAGCAGGAACGCATCAGAAGAATGGTTGTTGTCTACTGGTTATCCAAAAGGTTCATTCCTGGTTAGACAAGGCGAGGCATCACCAGGTAAGCAGTGGTCAATGTTAGACAGTCAATGCTTGGGGTAGGGATGGTGGCGGGGGACATTGGCACTTGACAGTAGTTTGCCATTGCATTTACCACTAGCCTCTATAAGCAGATTCGATCTAGCAGAGTGTGCATTAATTTTAATTTTGCCGTTTTGGGCATTCTAATTTATTTAACAATTATATTTGATAAATAGTGATAATATTGATTTAGATCCACAAGTTTTACAATGTGTATGTTCCTGGAATGATTTTTCTGTTTTATTGATTAGGAACGGCCAATAAATATTTAACATGATTGTGAAAGTTGGAGTACAGTAGCTGTATGTTTTGCTATGGTTTTACAGGTATACATGTATATACTCAGTTGAATCGAGCATTTGCAACTAAATTATGAATGAATTGGTGGTTCTGTATGGGTGCCCACTTTAGTCTGAAAAAATGCTTGGGAGATTTGGGGTCATCTAAGACATAACCACAGAACAGCTAAAAGGTGGCCACATTTCAAATATTGACCAAAACAAAAAAAAAAAAATCAAAATTTTAAAAAATGATGATTTACCAATAGAATGTGTGTTTGAAAGGATGATTAAAGTGGAAAAATTCAGTTACTTTACAATGCCTGAAAAATAGAAGTAAATTACTTATTTTTATGGAGCTGAAAGAATGTTTTAAAACCTTGCGCTGATCTCTGCAAATGAAGGAGAATATAATGGTACACGATTGTCCATCGTATCTCATGTTGCTTTCATGGCTTTCCATAAAAGTTTTTATTGTAATTTGCTTGTCCGTCTTAGCCTGACCATTATAGTAAATGGATAATTTGTGTGCCTAAAAGACAATAGTTATATGGTTACTTTATTCATTATAGAAACTCTTAAGATGTCCATGTTTTCTGATCAGCCGTAATAAATCACTAGAAACGACTGGTGGAGTAGGCAGATAATTGTCTTTGCGTGATGTTGTGTCCGTTTGTCTGTTACTAATACTATAAACTGTGACCGACAATAATGCCAATCCATGACATTTTTAAGTTATTTTTTGCAACAACCTTTTTGTCTTTGAAATTGGGAAAATTGAGTGTGGTAGCCATAAGGAAATTGGGAAAATTTTACACAGTTTATTAAATCATTTGCTTATTTCAGAGGGTGATACACATTAATGAATGTTGTTTTTCATACAAAAATAGCAATATACCGGTATGCATAAAAAGTTTAGCTGGAGGGGGGAAAATGATAATCTTTGGAAATTTTCATGATAAAAAATTCGAAATTTTATACAGTCAGTTGGGAAAAGGTCTCAATATTCCTTCACCTTTTTTATTGAGATGAAAATCTCTTATAATAGGAGGTCAAGCATTTTACCAGAATTAGTTATTTGTTGTTAAGGTTGGTGTAAAACTGTATCATTCTGAAGAACAAAAGGACGGCTAAGGCTAAAAATAGAAGTGAGCTTTTTACATGAAGTCTCGTCCTAAACCACTTGGTAGATTTTGATGAAACTTCAACATGAATGAACCTTTGATGATTCTTTAATAAAATATCTAAAATTATTCCATTCAAAAGAAGAGAAAAAGACGTTCGCGGAGCTAAAAATAGAAATGAGCGTGTAACATCCAAATTAATACTCAAAAGGAAAAATAATCATGTATAATTATATATTTTCAGATACTCTCACATTGTCAGTGCGTGACTTGGACGAATTACAGGGCTACATAGTGAAACATTATAAAATATATACTCACAGAACTGGCAATCCTGTCATAGAGTACTATTTTATAACGCTAAAACGAAAATTCAGATGTTTGAACGAACTCGTTAAACATTATTCAGGTATGTTGGGCGACTTTTTCTAGTCTATAATTAAAGAATTATGGCACCTTCCTTGAAAAAATAAATTGTTGAACGGCCTTGTGAAAAAAAAAAAAAATAATAATAATATTTTTCTAAATTATTGTTATTGACTATGTTATAGCACATATTTAATTCTGGCATGTCTCCTCTTTCCAATTTTGAATTTTCTTTAAATACATAACAGGGCATATTAAATTTTGTTCAAAGTATTTCATTTTTCCGAAATTTGTCTTTCTTGCCTGTGGCTTATTGAGTTACAGCCTTTTGATATATAAAAATAGGCATCTTTGTAAGAAAAATCAGTCTATCTCAAAATCTTGTTTTAATAGACCTTAATAGTTTGTATTTTACCCTATTGCCCATTTTCTAAGATATTTTGCATTAATTATATAAGTAAATCCGTTTCATCTAGGATCATAATAAAGTAACAAATTTGTTTTCAATTAAAGTTGTAGCATTTCACAGTGTGTCACATTCATAAAATTTTATCTTTTTTTATGCTTCTTTCAATTATAATGAAAAACACTGAAGACAAATTTGAATTCAACTTTAATTATTATGCCTTAAATATATATATATAAGATTTTCAGTTCACACTTGATTAAGTTGGGAGGCGGGAGGGGTGTTCTTTTCTGTGTGTTTTTTGTGTTTAGACATATTGGAATCACTTACTAAATACACAGCAGACAAAAATCTTGACTCATAAGTTAATCATGTACATGGTTATTAAAGTTTCAACCTGTCACGATTAAAAATGATTTAAAATTTCAAAATTCAGTTTTGGTTCTTGTCACCGTTATTTTCCATTTCTAAAGAAAATTGCTGCAATTACATTTAATTATTTTACTCAGTGAGGATTTATATAAAATGACAAAAGAAAATTTGATTTTCGTTATAAAAGCAGAGACAGTTTAATTGCTATCATACAAATTTTGTTCGTTTTTTGGTTGAATATAAAACGAGAACCTTTCATGAAATATGTGTTTCCATTAATCATAGAGATATTTTTATTAAAGAACGCAGAAGGAAAATTGGTTTCTTTGGGTTTAAAGATTATTGACAAGTTTGATCTCGAAAGAAATTGCTAAAAATGTGTGATCCACTTAGGATTATGTACTCTTTTAGAAAAACAAAACGATTTGAAATTTTGCACTCAAGAATTTGATAGTAATAGCAAAACATCAAAACAATGAAATTTTCAGACCTGTCCTGTCAAAAAAAAACATCTGTGGAATCCTAAAAAGGACTGGTAAATCAGATGTTCAGAATAAGTAAAGTTGAATCATTGCTTAAAGGGACTCCACTGACGGTTTTTGACATGACAGGATTGTAAAATATGTTTTCAAGGTTAATGTTCCATTTTATGTTGGGATTGGCAGATAACTCCTGTGCAAAATTTCAGATCATTCTGATTGTGAAAAAATGACCAAATATGAAATAAGTGTTGCAAATTCTTTTCACTGCAATTGAGCTAAGAATAGAACAAAAATACGATTTTCAATTTATTTCTGAGTATGTTTCTTCATTATCTTTTGTACCCCCAGTTGATCTACGTAAGAAATTCAATTTTTATGTTTTTAGGCTTTTTGGACCTCAGTGAAGTTCCTTTAAATTAATGTATACTTTGAAAAAAACAAAAGGAATTGAGATACAGACTGTACCATATAACCTTTGAATGTTACTATATTTAGAAATCTGATCTGCTATCAGAAGTATTGGTTAATGATGGGAAACAGACCTGCCTAAAACCTTCAGCATTTCCTTGTACAATTTTAAATGCAGGTCTGGTTTTACTTCCAGGCCTTTTGATAATTTGATAACCTCTTTTTCTTTTTACCTACCTAATGAATCATTATGTCTAGATATTTTTTTAATATTTTTTATTCCTGTAATATTTTTGGCAATGAAAATTTGTTCCATGTGCAATGTTTTAAAGTCAAGGTGAAAAAAATGAAATTATAGTCTTACAGTACAACCTGTGCAAAACAAGACCCTTAGTGAAAGATTTTGGTTGAAGTTTAAAACTGACATTTATTTTGGTAATCCCTGCAAACGACATCCATTCCATGTCAGCTCGGAAAGTTATGTATACATAGATATGTTACAGATAAAAGAATAATGAAATATTTGTAATAGTTTTGTTTCTTATATATAAATAGAAATAACAGTTGTTATTCTGTATGCATTCTTAATTAGAAAATAATTAATATTCAAGTTTTAAGTTGGAGTGGGCGAAATTCATAAAATATTACGATTTTACATAAACACATGCTGACATTTATCACATCATGCGGATATTACTATTCCAATGTCAAAAAACGAGCGGAGAAAATAAATGTATCAACAAAAAAAAGAAAACAGTAAAGGTATTTTGTCCTGTAGTTCAAAACCATTTCCTGTACTCGTTCGTAAATTACCCGCAATTATCTGCGTACAAATTTCTGCCTCTATAATGGTATGATTATCATAAGTTTAAAGCACTTGGTCTCGTAGTTTGTTTTTTTCGCTTTCGCTTCCTGTCATTTCGGAAAGTTTGACTCGGATATTTAGAGAACTTTGGTCTCTGACATTTAATAAACTTTTGTTATTTCAGTATTTATATTCTGACCTTCAAAATGCTAGAAATTTTGTTGTAGTAGTGTATTTTAATGGCGGAAAGAGGAAATTTATGCCAAAATAGTGAATAAACATGGGTAAAAAAAACAGCTTTGAAATAAAATTTTAGATTTGTAGGCAGTTTAGAAATTTATTGCACATTTTGCATTATTTCACTCTTGCAATTATTAATCCATGCATTAATAGCACCTGGTGACATTTTTGTGGTAAATAGTCATCATTAATCTTCATGAGCTAAAGGTTCGAATCTAAATATAAAGGTTGAAATCTCCTATATGAAGAAGATATCCATATAACAAAGATTGGTGATTTTACTTAGATGCCCACTTCCTTGCCAAAAAAAAAAATAAACGCACTATAAAGCTGCAAGATGTCAATATGGCCTTGATAGTGTCTGTATGGGGCACAACCCAACATCGCAAAAAAAAGCAATATAAAAAGCAACCACAATATTTTACCTGTCTCTTGCCATTTAAGGTTCAAATCTCATTAAGGATTACTGTATAGTACTATACTGTACATATAAGGAGAAGCTTGCACTTGCAGGATAGTATATTGAAAGTATCTGACACATATCCTGATGCATGCTTGTGTCAGGAATAATGCACTGAGGTTCACCTCCTGTCGATCTCCACCGGTTATTCTTAAAAGTTGCCATATGACACAAACATTTTTTGATGTGCCCCCAAACTTAGTCTTAAATTTATTTGAATTATTGTCATTATTTTCAAGTATATATATATATATATATATATTGTATTTTTCAGAATCGGCCGATGGGTTGTGCTGTAAATTGAGTCAGGTTTGTGGGAAGCCTCGTTCATTGTCGTGGGCATCAGAACGAGGGAAAGATGATGATTATACGTCATCAAAGGAAACTGTTCAACTAACCAAGCGAATAGGCAGCGGACAGTTTGCTGATGTATTTTTAGGTATGGTTCAGAGGAGTGTTCTTAACAAGTATTTGCTATCAAATTTTTTTGTGTGTAGATATTGTTCTCAACACTTGCTTCGTAAAAATTAAAGAAAAGATTTAAAGGGCTAACAATAGAAAATTACAAGCAGTTTATTTGAATTTTTAAAAAATTCAAGCCCTTCAGTTGCTTTAGTTTTGACCAGTTACCAATTTATTGTGGTCAGATCTGTTTCCAAGTTAGTAGCCGAAGCAAAGCCATGATGATTTAATTGGCCTATATGAACTTAGATAATACTCTCTATTAGAAGTAATTCATTTATTGATTAAGTCTGCAAAGCCTATTTTGGTAAAAATCGCAAGATTTGTCTGAACGATTCTTTTCTGAATGATTTGTTTTATATTCAAATACAATAAATAATTCATATGATTTATGTGCTTGGATCAGAATTATTCACTGCCTACTGTATTATAGATTATGATAGATGGATGCTAAAGTCACGGAAATAACGAGGAAAGCTTAAGTTACTTTAATTCTCGGAGTTTAGGAAAAATATATCACCGGCTCAGACTTTTCTGAATTACAGTAAATCTTTTCATTTCCATCTATCTTGGAATTTGTCTGAAAATTTCCTATTGTTTCTACAGAATTTATAAGGACATGCTGCTATCTAAATCTGTTATCGAGACCTCCCAGCTTTTCCGTTATTTATTTCTGGTGTAATTTAGACCTGCCCTAGGTTTCGACAGATACTTCGTAAGGATTTTTTAAAAATTGTGTCACTGTGTCAAGATAGTTGTTTAGCCGGCGGGGCAGCTTTTGTTTCATGATGAAGTTATTTGTATATCGTATTAAAGTCTTGAAGAATTTCATTGGAAATTTTATATTTTAAACCTTAATAAACTTAGCTCAGTAAAGAAGAAGTAACTAAAAAAATACAAAACTAAATGTAAGAAATGCAATAATTGGTTAGCTTTGAATGAAAGGTTTTGAACAAAATTGGCTTTAATGTAATAAAATTATATGTCTTTTTTAGTAGGCATATAGTTTTGCCTTTGTCCGTCTCTAATGCTGTCAGCTTGTAGACTGTAAAATGTTGGGACATTTTTGA